TACATAGGTATGTAAAAATGAACCACAGACGCCGGGGCGTCGCTGTAAAGTATATCTAAAGGGCTGCTAAATCGAATCACTCGAGCGTGAGGAGGCTTGGGAATTAGGACCGGGGCGGATTGGGGGCGGTGACAGCCGGAGTCTGCGCCAGAGCCAGAGATAGGGAGGGATGCTGCGGATGACAGAGCTCGGGACGCAGGACACAGGACGCAGGCCTCGAGGAGCGGAGGAAAAGAGTGCAGGGTGCAGGGTGCAGGGTGTGCAGGGTGGCGGTGGGTGGGCAATGGGAATGGGGGACGAACATGAAGGCAAGGATGATGACCCAAGGATAAGGATAGAGACTAAGTGTGCTCCCGAGGGGGGACCCGGGGGCAAAGGACAAGGAAGGGCTATATCTGAACAGTTATACATAACCAAATATCATGATGACGATGACAATTGCCGCGACACAACAACGACGGAGGACAAGGTGAGGGCCTACGCGGCGAAGAGTAGGACGAGGACGGAGGCGGCGGAGGCGGAGGCGGAGGCGGTAAAGGGAGGAAAGAGCGGCTGTTTGTTTGACATCTTTTTCCGAACTAGCGCCTGTCCTGTAATCTGCGCCCAACTCATACACCCAGCTAAAACGAATGTCCCATACGATCGACGAAAAGAGAGACGAACAGACAAGCATCGCGGTATGTTCTACTACCTAATACCGTTCGGAGGCGCATGTCTTAATGGCAAACGTTGCGCATCCGCAGCTAGGAGGGATACGGATTAGCACACGAGACGCTGAACGATAGAGATTTGTATAACGCACTGTTCTGGTAGACGGTATTTCCCCACCAATCCAGGCTCACGCCCCCACGAGGGAACTGCAGCGCGAAGAAGATGAACAGTACAGAGAGCACCGTGCCGCAGTCGAACGCGGCCGTGAGCACGTAGTTGAACTTGCTCCACCACACAAAGTTGCGGCGCCGCACGAGGAACTGGAAGATGAACCCGACGAGGAACCACGACGAGTAATTGATGCCCGTCGCCGGCGGGATGAGCCCAATGCCGTTCAGGACGATCGGCAAGTTGATGAACTTGTTCCACTTGTTGGGGTACTTGCGCTGCCAAAGCCAGAATGGAATGGGCAAGATGCCCCCAATTGCGACCGCATACAGCTGCGGGTGGTAGATCGACTGCGTGCCAAACTGCCGCGCAGGCCCGATGAGGCCCCAGATGGCGGAGGTAGTGTACAATACTTGGTTGTGTGGGCACGTCAAGAAGTCCTTCTGACCCTGTTGGCAGATGTCTTCGATGTGCGCGAACATCCATTCCTTAACCCCTACTTGCATGAGACCGACAAGCGTCGTCGACACCAGCTGCACAGAGAAGGTAGCGCGTGGCGGAAGTTTTACATAGTGGCCAAGCTTCAAGTCTTGTACGAAGGCAGTGCCCTCCGCGAGCGTTTGCACAGCGTAGGCCTTGAAGATCTGAACGGAAGGGTGAGCAGATGCAGGATTAGACAAGGGCATTGTAGCCTACCATGTTGGGGAGAGGTTTGCCGGGCAAGATCATACCGGGAATAATCTGTGCGAGCAGGTTGATCGTGATCTGTGGATGACGATGACCGTCAGTAAGCGTTCACCCCTGAAAAGGTAGGTAACTCACATTTTGACCCGTCAACGCGTATACATATCCTGACGGCACCATGTATGTGACTGGGAGGGCAATTGCGAGCAGCAACGCCCACACCGGGATGTCCGTGTGCCAGACTTCCGCGGTGACGATCGCCAGCGTGAAACAGACGATGAACGTCATCGCATACCACCAATCAGGCACCTCAGGGTACGCGCGCATGAGCTTCGCGTGGATGTCGTCCTTCTCGATCCGAGTCTGCGTCAAGCCGTGGAGGAGGGTGCGACCGTGGTATAATAGCGTGTGCACGATCATAGCAGACGACAGAGCGAAGGCGATGAGATATGTGATCGCATACGATGCGGGGAGGTAGAGAGGGGAGTAGCCCTCGTAGCCCTTCTCGTCGAAGGTGTGATCGGGCTTGAGCACACGAGTGATGTCGTATGGCTTCCCGTAGCGGTCGTACGGTGAGTTCGCCATGATCGGAAAATACGAGAGCTCCCACGACTATGGAAGCGTCAGCTTCGCACAACAGATATTAGTCCGAGAGCATGACTTACGTTCGTGTAGTACAGGATAGGACATAAGATCCAGTACACGATGAAGAAGCCGGCGAAGATCTGCACCTCAGCCCACCATGGTACCATGAGCGGACTGCCGATCCAAGTGATCTGCGCCCAGTCGAAAGTAAGAACACTCATACCAAGACCCGCGGATACACCAAACAGTTGGTTGACGACGATGTCTCGGGGCTTGATCCAGCAAACAAACGAAAATATGGACAATGCGGTGAAGAGGTAGCCTGTCATCCAGAGTTAGCACAACGTCACTGGCCTTAGGCATCCCACTCACCAGGCAGGAAGGCCCAGAAGAAAGCACCGACGGCCGCATAACAGAAGAAACGGAAACGGGAGACACCGCCCCGTGCGTCCTCCTCTTCGGCATGCAGCGTATTTAGCAAGGTGCAGATGATGAGGTTCTGCGGCCACACCATGCTCGCCGGCCAGACTAGATATCGCCTGCACAGGCCCGCCAGCGAAAACCCCGTCAGCTGCGTCGCGAGGATGAGCAGCGCGTTGAATCCGTAGCCAAGCTTGACCCCATAGTTGATCTCCGCGACGACAACCGCGTTAAGCGCAGTCGGCACTCCGATGGACACGTTCGCCATGATATACACTAGCGCGTGCTCCTTGATGTTCCAAGGCCCTGGATTAAGCGAGAACTCGTACCCACCCAACCATCGTGGTAGACGATATGTTCGTATTGGCATAGTTAGTGCGAGAAGCTTTCCGAGGGGATGTGCAATGAGGAGAAGTACATTGGACACGATTGACGGTGCTGGTTGTCGAAAGTTGAAGAACAGATTTGAACACCTATGTCATCGTCGCAACTCAGCATATACCGGGACGAGCATACTTTGACGAAACCTACCCAGCAGCAAGCGTCAGCGTGAGTCCGATCACCCACATTCGTGGCGTCATCGCGGGCATCTCTGGATCGTCGATATTTGATACCGACGCGCGGACCTCTGGGTACGGGCTATCTTCGTCTTCATCCCCTTCGAAGTCGAACTCCATCCTGGGCAGATGTCAGTAACAGATATGCGGGGGTGCTGGTGTCAAGACTGAATTCAACACTCAGATATAAGTGAACGACAAGAGACAACTGATGAATCTTGCGTGCTGCTAAGCCGTGTACACGATCCTGATACACGGCGGCCAAAGTACAATGTCACATTCTAAACCTTTTGCGGTATGCTCGGCCGAATGTCCATCACGTCCATCCGCCAGCGCTGAGCGCACAGGGCAACGCAGCCATACCATGCGAGAGCATAGAGATGTAACCGAGACCCACGGACTTGGACGTCCGTCGGCAAACACCGATAATGGGGAGGAAAGACGCAATGTCGCGGGATACAGGCCCCTGGTATTGTGACTATCTCCGGAATATGGATTGTTACCACAGCAGCGTACTCGTGCAAGAGATAGCTTCCAGAAAGACGCAGACAGATGGGGACAGATCCTTGCGAAAACGAATATTGTATGTCAAGGACAGATGATACTCACTTGATTGAAGCCGAGTCCGCGACGCTCGGGAAGCTCGTCGACCTCGCCGTTGATGGTGGACGGTCCTTACCCTTTCCCCGCGAGCCGTTTGGTAGGGAAACATGGACCTCCCGCGAGCTGATGGCGGAGCTGACGCCGGTGAAGCGACCTGTTCCCGAGGTCGGCGCGGTGGAGGCGGATGGCGGGACTATTCTGCGCATCCGGTAGGGGTCATCGTTGTCCTGGTTCTGGGAGTCGGTCGAGGGGGGCGATTCGACTGGGCTGAGGGGGTAAGGTGTGCGGTGATACGGTTGTTGGGAGGGGCCTGGGGTGGGACCGACACGATCGACGGCGCTGGGGTCCCATGTCGGGGGCGGGGGGTTATCGGGGACGCTGCTGTGGGAGGAGGGCCGAAGGCAAAGACGTCGCCGGCGTCGGACTCGTCGTCCTCGTCTTCCTCATCGAGGGAGTACGTGTACTGGGGCTCGCGGTCGAAGTAGCTTGCAGTGTCCGGGCGGCCGGTAGTGGGGCGCGCGGACGACGGCCTGCCTGCGCTGGACGTCGAGCGGAACGGCATGGAGAGGAGAGGGGACGGTGGTGAGACCGGTGGGAGGGGGGAGCAGACGGACTCCAAATGGTCTACGTCGGACTCTTCCCTCTTCCCTCTTCCCTCCCAGGCACATCACTCGTACCTGAATTGCCGCATATGGCAAGTCGTTTAATATCCCTCGACTTATCGCGTCTTAATGCGCCATTTCTAACTATACCTCCGCTCTCACGTCTGCGGCCTCACCGCCGGATGCCAGCGACGACGGCCAGGTTCGCTGTCCAGAATACACCCAGCGCACTGCTCACCCTCGTCCAGCGTATGAGAATAAGTATATCCATGATGCCACAGACTGATCGCGCGCCACTCTCGAGCGCTGCGCCTCTAGAATCGCAGGCACTGCAGACCAGGCCCCTGGATGACTTGCGTTCATGCCTGCCTGTGTGCACGTTCGCAGCCGCCGCCTGCAAGTAGCCAAAGCTCGCTATTTTATGTAACTATCCCAGGTACGGACGCCTTGATGACATCGACCGAGGCTGAAAGGTCGGCTGTGCAAGGCAAACGCGAGGACCCAGGCGAACAATCTCAGATCGCCTACAGAAGATCACCGCACTGCGGCTTGGCTAGGCACTTCCGAACGCCGCAGTTCCTCTAATCTTTCAAGTGCATAGCACCAAGTCCTGTTTACAGCAGGACTTATACCGCCTTCAAACTGGGTAAAGTTGGAACCGGAGATCAGTATTATTATTCTTACTATCCGCTTGCTTCTATATATTGGTGTAAGTGACAATGTACTTTAAGGGCATGTGGTGTAGTTGGTTATCACGCTCGCTTAGCAAGATTATGTATGCGAGAGGGGTCCGGTTCAATCCCGGACATGTCCAGTGAATCTTTTCTATCGATAATATTGCCTTGTGTCCTGTCGAATGGTCTGATTCCACAGCAGTGGAAGTGACAAGACGTGATGCATCGATGTTATCCTGAACCGGGACAGAGCATTGAGGGATAGTGTGTTGGGTCGGTGACTTCCATTATTCCCCTGCATTCTCAGGAGTGTCCCGGTGTTGTCGGTCAAACTTGAACTGAATAATAAACGTCACTTTCATGTGGATGTGCCTGACGACGCGCCAGGTGCGATGGTCATCCTCACCACCAGCATTCGTGTACTCCTCCGACAGCAGTGAGTGCTCAGGCACATTCTTCCTGGTCTCTAGTTGGAAAGTCCCGCACGGAAGGTCCTGCAGTCTGTCAGACTCGCCAGCTTCCCTAACCTTGACAGCTTGAACGCGCGCAGGGAAACTACCCGATGGTACCCAAAGCATGCTGGAAGAGTGGCCATCGGAGCACTGCACGGGAATACATCACTGACCAGTGACTTCACAGGCACCAACAGCCCAATAGCATCGTTGGAAGCCCTCCTGCAACATCGGAAGCATGTGCGCTCATGTCCCCTGGAGGAGTTTCGTTAACGTTGGGAGCGCCTAGATCCTGCATCCTGAATTCCTGATGGGCTCCGCCGCCGCGAGGGGAGGATGGAACGTCGTAAGCGTGCCTGGGCGGCATGCATGATGAGACACCGCCGCGGAGGCTTCTATATAGATGAAGTGTAAGTGGCTGCCTGCGAGACACAACGGAAGACGAGGAAGATGGTGCTAAGCTGTTCAGAAGCCCTCGATCGCGCACGCCACACCTATATTATATGGCGGCCCTGCTCATCGAGGTATGTAGACCGCCCTGCTCGCTTGCGGAGTCTGACGACGTACTACGTACTTAGTATGGAGTTGAGAAAGGAGTGAGGGGCAAGGCGCTCAGCCGCCCCAGATATCCGTACCTTTCACACCCACATCCACATCCACATCCACATCCACGGGAGATGGATTCAACCTCTACTTATGTCCCGAGGCCCGCAATCGGGCGCGCAGGGCCTGGACCACAGGCACAGCCAGGGTCTGTTTTGACACGAACGTTTAATGCCACCATCAGGGACGCGAGAGGCGCTCCAGCTTCATAACCATATTCATTACTCAGGTAAGTACCATCACAGTTGCAACTGCCCAAGCCCGCAGCCCAAGCTCGAGGGCCCGAAGTTGAAGCGTCAAAGACTCGAGTATCGAAGATGCGAAGTTTATGGCTGCGAACGCGTCTGGGCGTGGACCTTGGGCACTGGGTCCGAGCTACGCAAATCGCCCCAGAGCCCCGTGGCGAACTCGCGGCGCGCGTTGAGAGACATGAGGATCGCGGCGGCGATGAGCTCGGGCGCCATGTGGAGAACGTAGAACGCGATCTTCGCTCCGGTGGAGTTGAGCGAGCCCGGAGCGGTCGAGAGGAGGGATGTCGTGTGGTAGCCCATCACGACTAGTCGGTACACCCCTACGATGGTCTGCGAGAGGCCGACGAGATAGATGAGTAAATGTATTGCGGATGTGAATGTGGATTTGGATATGAAATTGAACGCCATGCGTCGTCAGCGTGGGCGGTCACGTTCAGGGACAGAGCGGTAGATGAAATACGTACAAGCAGGGCGGTGACGACGACGATCCACATAACTGAGCGCTTAGGGACACGAGGGAGCAGGTAGCACACCCACACTGCGCCCACTGCGTTTGAGAGCAAGCAGAATACCCCGACTGCAGAGGCGTAATACCTGCCATCGGATGACCGGGTGTCATTATCGAGAAAAGCTGGGATAGCTCGCGCACAACTGCCTAGCGGCGACGTACCGTAGGCTCTGCAGCAGGTCCGCACCCGAGGAAGATTCGACAGCCTTTTTGTAGGTTATCCCGGCTATCGCACTCACGATGGTCACCGCGATATAGAGCAGGGCGATCTGTTCGCAGAACCGACGGATCCAGAAGCGCATCCGTGGGTGGTCTTCACGCTCCTCTGAGTCGTCGACGATGAACGGATATACACCATCTTCGGGCGTCTCGTCTCGAGGCGCCTCCAGTTGCGGCGAGGGAGTGGCGGATTTGCCCTTGTACACCGCGAACATTTTCGTCCCCAACGTTGCATCGACGAGCACGGCGCGCGTGAGCATGGCGAGGTCGTTGCCGAATGTGAGGAACCCGGCGGCGAGTGTGGTCTGGAAGTATGTGTTCAGGTGAAGGCTCTCGCGCGAGCCGGTATGCTGTGCGGCGTATCCACGGAGAGCGAAGCCGACGACGCTGGAAATGCGACATGAGTTGAGGTTGTGAGGAACAAAAAGCAGGAAAGGAACATACCGCTCAATTCCAAAGAAGACAGTCCCGGCGAGGATGAATGTGCGCGACCGAGCATGGATAATGCGCCAGAGGACGACGGGTACAAGGAGTCCATACAGTGCGGCAAACAGTATGGAAGGGATCAGGTCGAGGGGGTACGGGACGCCACCCACCGGCGAAGGGAACTTGTGTGTCGGGTTGGACGACATCCGCGATTGAGGGAGGCGGAAGAGACGTCTGGATCGCAAGAAGAACAGGATGGGGTTACACAAACCCCAGAGGTTGGTCGTATACATATGCCAAAGTACTGCGGGCGTCTTGATTGAGAGTACAAGCTTCGATCGCAGGCTGGGCAAGTATGCCCGATTTTACGGCAAGAACAGCCTTTAGAAGCTGCTGTACGACATTGGTCAATGAAGACTTGACACCGAGGCGGTGTCTTCTAGTAGTTATTCGGAGGAATATGACTCAACTGGCATGACCGATGCCACTGCCTTCTTAAAAGGTTATATATGGCCATTGTGCTGAGCCTAGACACCATGATTAGTCCCACTCTATCACCCCATTGGACTCATCAGACGCACAACTTGAGAACGAACGTTGTCCCCGGTCTGTAAAAAAATTCAAACTGAGACATTGGCGCCACCAATTATTCTCACGATCTCGGGTAGTGTAGTTGTCGATTATACCAAAAGCGGAAAGTCAAGCGCCTGTACTGATCTTTAAGTTTCTGACATGATGTGCATCGATTCCCTGCGCATCCTTGGAATAGGCTCAAACCTCTGTTGAGGTCTTCTTATCTTTGGGCGGCCAGAAAGCTGCGACAATGCTTAGAGTCAAATTGCATCTTCATAACCTGTGGCCAACGACCACCGACATGTATCTCCGAGTCCTGATGCTCGCTACTAGCATTCTCCTGTATTTCGGGTATCGCTACTTACTGAAGCCCCATCAAGGTCAAAATTACAAGGCAATTCAGGACTGTGGAGCCCATGCTCCTCTCACTCTTCTGCCAGATCCCGAACCGCTGGTGGAGTTCGATCTTGGAACTGCGATGCCACGAGACTTTCTGTCCGTTAACAGGACTATAAGGTATCCATACCATCAGGTAAGTATCTCCACCCTGCTTCGGAACCTCAGAGAGGAAGATTGCTAGCTGAACTTCGTACTCAGACGATGGCTCACAAGCCAATGCATATCAACCACTGGATCGAGATAGACAGAGAGTACAAACGGTATCTTGACGAGAAGGCTACGGTGATCAAAGAACAAGGTTTGCTCAAAATTCTCACAAACGTAGCTCGCTGCCCCACTGAAGCATATTTAGGCAAGACTGTCATTGACTCGCTCCCCGAGAACGACGAAGCGTGTGGAGAGCTTCTCATGGAGCTTGTAAACTATCTGCCCAAGCGCTATCCGACCCTTTTCACACGTGAAGGGAACGACGCCATCGTAAACCTTGTGATGGGAGAACGACACCTTGGATTGAGTGAGAAGAAAGGAATTGATGCCCTGCATACAGTGTCACGGTACGGGGCTACACTTGAGCCCGCTCATATCCATTTATTCTGATATCGCACAGCTTGGTTCAGGATGATTTCTTGATGGGACGCGAGCGTGAAGACGGACAGATCTACCTAGTCGGTGGCCTCATCGCATTCCCAGGTCAGTACTGCAACTGTGTCTTACGGCCTTGACGCTGATTGCGGCACAGGGAGTTATCTGCTCTCGGAAACTATTGACAAGCCCGTAAAAGCCATACATATGCCAGTTCCGGACTTCAACAAGAAACTACTCATGAGCGTCGAGCGCACGCTCAAGCGTTTCAGGCCTAACCAGCCCTTTGAGCGGTCAAGTTGGAGTATCGTCGATGATCGGAACCTGTTCTGGCGTAAGTAAGGTAAAACCAGACACTTGGCACTTTTCCTCATCGAACGCTGTACTGTTCAGACAACATCGCCTCCGTGCCATCTGTCGACCCGAGTGTTCACCCGAAGGATCTCTGGCTACGGATCGACCATCAAACGTTTCGCAAGCTTCCGAGGACCAATGCAATCATATTTGGAGTGTGAGTCTCATATCGTTGCATCGCGCAAGGACGGTCTCACGAATCGACCATAATGCGACTCGTAGTCATCCAATCCTGCACAAAATTGAGGATTTTGCAGACAGCCCTCTGGTTCCCGCTCTTCTCGAGAGAGTACATATAGATTCCGATCCTGCGCTCCTGAAGGTCAGCATCTTGAGGTACGGTGTGAAAAGAGCTGTGCTTATTGCCCTTTCAATAGTACAAAGGCACACACAAGTACGATGCCTTGTTGCTGCCGTATTTGCGCGAGCTCACACAACGTCAAATCGTTTGCGGACTCATAAAGTGAGTACTTCCAGTGGTGTTGTATGAATCGGATATCTAGTAACTTCTCTGCCTCTCTTGCAGGGAAGAAGACGATGTGCAGTCCTTCCGAGAGCTGCTGCGACATAGCTTGTCACTGGAAGAGTTTACTACGACATATTTTTGACGTCTACTTCCTAAATCATGACTCGTAGTGCACTGTCAAACTGAGTTAATTGGTAAGGCTAGCCTTACCAAGTTGTGCTTTACGCCCATGTACAATAGACTGAGACAGGTGACTGCTTGTGTGATTGGAAGTTACCATATAAAGTGATAATCTGGACTCGACGAA